CCCAGAGATGCAGTCAGATATGTTATTAAAATGCAGTAGACATCTTCACTTTGGCAGATACCCAGGAAGATGTTGTGAGAAATTGTAAAGATGTATAAAATTGATCATTTAGCATGGTTTAATAAAAGTAAGTACATAAGCACTAAAAAGTAGGGTTAAAAAAAAAGTATCATAACCTTTCTTACTAGAACCTGAAAGTCTCTCACTAATATAATAGAAATGTCTGTAATATAATTTGTATTGCATTTGTGTATTACATTTCATATTTTTCCATCTGTACCTTTTGTCCTTGTCAGCACAAGCATTCTTGGCTTCTTTCCCTTTTCTGTTCTCCTTTTTATCTAATAATTTACTGTAACATTAAAAAAAAAAAAACAAACCCAAAACCAAAAAACCAACAAACATACAACAAAGCAAAACCCAAAACCCATGACTCTAATGACACATCTGTGATCATCAGAATAAATCCCAAAACCAAAAGATAGTAACTACATCATCTGTTGGCCTCCCTTTCCTCTACCCGCCATCATGGGCAAGCTTCTGAAGCTTTAACTTCCGTTTTTTCTGTCCTCATTTGGATGAATGTTTCCATTCCATCAATGGAATCAACGGCTCTTTTTGCCTGAGAAAGAGAAGGATTAAAATGAAGTGATAGGTTCAGGATGTGGCCTCTCTTCCCTAAAGCGTGTCTGTTCTCATTCCCCTTTGCATCTGCCCATGCAGCCACTTACATTTTAAGTGTGTCTTCCCACCCCCAGACCCATGTGGTCATGACACTGCCCAGGGATGACTAAAGCAGCACACAGGAACTTCATGTGACCATATTGTCACTTGGGATTCATTTTTTCCCTCCTCGTTCCTCTCAAACATTCCCAGTTTACAAGAGTCTTGCTCCCCCTAGAGCCCTTCAGTGCTGTTTGGGGGGACCACTTAATCTCTCATCATTCTAGATATGAGCTCACTGCTCATTTTGCTTCCAGCCTCTGTCAGATGGGATGCAGGCTGAATGCAGACTTCACCTTCCTGTATTGCAGTGTAGGGTACGGGCACCACACCTTCAGATGCCCGGGTCTTGGAGACTGAGCTTCACCCTTGCTGGCAGACAATAGGCATTGTGCTTCCTCTTAAGTTCTTGCAACTTTGCACAGCATCTGGGGGTCTCATGAGCAATCCTATAAAGTCGTGAGCTGGGGACAACTGGTTTAATCTATCTGATTTTGGCTATCACATCAGCAGTGACTCTTGAGGGCACTTTTGATAATACAGTCTCTAGCAAAACCATCAACAGTGTCTAGGTATCGTTTCAGAAGTCAGTATTGTATTTTGGCCAGAAATGCTACTGTTTCCATTTTTTTTTTTTCTAGAAGTGTTCTGACCTCAATGTTCTTGCAAAAATAAACATTACCAAGCAATTTTTCCTACCATAGTTGTGAGGGAAGACTTGATGGAGGCAGTGAGTCTTGTGCTCTGTCCTTACAAATGTTGAGGGTGTGGCTGATGTCTGTAAGAAGGGTTTCCAAAGGCAGAACCCCATCCCACGTCTGGAGAATTTAATCCTTGTGCTCATGAGGTGCTATGTGCCTAATATTAGGAACTGTCAGGGATAGATACAGAGAGAGCAACAGTCTCTGAAGTTACTCTGGCACCCCAGAAAGGCAAACTTGACATTGACATCACACATCAGCCCTTCCACTGTCAGGAAAGACTCCCATGATGACACAGTAGCAATTGGCTTCCCTACTGAGGCACGCATCATAGAACCAAGCTAATTTGTGTATGGTTTTGTGTAGATTTGTGGGGCTGTTTAACTCAGAGGGTCTCAGATTTTGATGTTAGCTAACAGAGTGTATGTGCCAGCTTGCTGTGACTGCTAGGACATCATCAAAATGTCATCATGACTATTGGAGGCATCCGAACCAGGCCAGTCTTTCAGAATGCCTTCTTGGGGTATTTGGTCCCTCTTTAGAGCCAGTAGAGAGGTCAGTCCATCACTTAGGCTGTCTGACCCAGTTTTGGTGGCACCCGCCCCTTTCTGAGCTGAGCAGAGACACTAAGTGCTCAGTGTAGGTCTTCTACCAGTAGTTTGGAGGTCCACTTACTTAGGCAGCAGAAATCATGGTATCTAATATAAGCTTTAGTGCTAGGGAGTCTGAATACAGCCTCCACTGACTAATCTGGTATTACTTCCAACAATTTAGTCTGCTGCATGTTGCATACATATGTGTGTGTGTATGTGCAACGTGTATGCGCTCATGTGTAAATGCATTATGCAAGTGTATGGTGAAAATAAAAGTCTGTATCATGGCTGTATAATACATAAAAGCAAGGAGGAGACATTTATAGTCCTGCTGTCTTGCCAAACCAGGTATATCCATAAAACACAGATTTCACTAACAATACCTCCAATCTAAATCTACCTTTGTCAACCAGACACATAAATGATGAGTAGTGTAGAAGCTATGAATAAAAGTGATAAAACCACTTAATAAATCTAAATGTAAATGAAACAGAAAAAAAAAAAAAAACAGAGAAAAAAACACAGCCAGAATTATTGGTAAGCAGCAATGAGTGACATGTAGGTTTATGGTTATATAGTCCTGTGGTTAACCAGTATGTGGTTAATGAATAGTCTTCTGTCAACAAGACGTAAGCTAAGTATCTTCCTGCTTTTGCCAACTTGTGTCACAACCTTATACTGGCTCTGAGATCTTCTCTGTTCTGTAGAAAATCTTGAATGTAACTTCACCTCCCTCTTTTTCTTTATTCTGGTCTTGTAACATGGCCACATTTTACTACATTTCACTATTATAAATTTTTTTCTTTTCTCTCTGGAAAATCCATGAGAGCCTTCTAAAGAAATAAATTGACTACATACTCTAGCAGAACAGCAGGAGCACCTTAACCTGATCCATCAGCAGTTGTAAAAAAACTCAAAACAACAAATGGGAAGCGATATGGAAATACTGCAGATTAGTAAAGCAAATAAATTATATTTTCAAAGTCTCTTTCAGTCTTAGTTATCTAGGTGTTGTATATAATGATACAGGGAAACTATTTTTGGAAAGAAGGATGATCTACAGGTGCCTCTGATATTTTTTTTAGTCTAGTGCTATGGGTGATAAAGTTTTTCAGAAAAGAGTTTATTAAACTTTATTACTGTTGCCTCATAGAAAGATCTGTTGGGATGGCAGAGAAAGAGTAACTAAGCTGTAAAGCTTTATCATGTAATTTGGTATTTAAAGAATGTCAAGAACACAACCATCTTTGGTCTGGGTAGATGTAGGACCCAAGAGTTGAAGGCTAAAGGCCCTGAGACAGGGATCTGAAATGACTTTTGCTTATGGTGCAATACTGTCAGTCTCAGGGACTGCTTTCTAGCGAGGATGTGGAGGTGGGAAGACACTCTCCTGGGATTTGCGAGGCTTGTGTTTCACCTTCTGTTTTGTCGGGGCTGTGATTCAGGATCATAGTCAGATGCAGCAGCCAAAGTGGTTAGCATCGCTGGCCACAGGCTTCCTGTGAGATTGTGGCCAAGTCACTTTATCTCCCCACAGTTCCTCATCTGTAGAGTGGGGAGAAAACCTCCCTAATTCACAAGGATGTGATGAGGACAGTTTCCAGTAATAGCTATGTGTGTGTGCTTGCCGTGATGTTGATAGAGACCATTAGCACCAAAGTAGGAACTACATTAAGAGAAGTATTGAATTGCAAGTGAATGTGCATAGGGAGGCGGGGAATATTGCTGTTAGAGGAAGGCATTTATATTTACATTTATATTTATATTTACCATTATATATACATTTATATTTATTTATATAGATAAATGAAGCAAACAATAAACATGGGAAGTCTTAGAAGGGAAGAAACTCAGCACTTGGGAGTGCTGGAGCCAAGTGGTAAAATGAAGCAGGCAGATTTGTATGGGGAAGCTTGCACAGCATGTGCCCAAAGGAGGAGAACCTCAATTTTCTTACAACAGTTCCTGGTTATCTAACTTGGGGTCATGTCTCTTGATGTCTCTTACTGATAACAAAGATTCCTGTCAGTATCTGAGTCCTCTGTGATGCTGAGATAACTACACTAAACCTGCTGACAGGCAATGTTTTTATTGTTGTCCAGGCCAAAGCCATAATGAATGCATATAGGAGGTCTTATCAAAGATGCAGAATGTTACTTCTGTGATTTAAAAAATGCCTGAAGTAAGTGCTGGCATTGGCCAAAAGCAAATCCAGGAGTAGCAGGATCTGAAGGCATTGCAGTCGCGAGGGGATATGAAACCCTCCCCAGCAGCCTTCAAAATGAATACTTTTCCCAACTTAGAGCTGTGGCATGCACATAACAATTTTGAAAAGGCCTTTACAGTTTTCTTTCTGAATAATAGAGAATCTAAGCATAATGCTCTGCTATGTCTTCATAAAATGTTTTAATTCTCTGTGGACAAGCTGTAGGGATTTTTTTTTTCCATTCCTCTGTTTCTTGGCATTGCGGTAGCAGATTATTTTTAAAGAGTTCTGATTCACAATATGGAATTGATCTAATGCTAGCTTCAACCACAAAGTGTGGGATTTTACGATCTGCCTAGGGGATCTGAGCACCCAGTTCTCTTTAATTTTAACAAGCACTCTTGATCAGATCCCTGTGGGAGTTTTGGAAGAGTCAACCACAATTTCTAAGCTCCTCTGAACTAACACCCTTTAGAAAGTACAGAAAAGGTACCAGCAGTCATGCAGATCAGATAAACTCTGTTAGGGGTAACCTCCTTTTTTTTTTTTTTTTTTTTTTTTTAAAAACCAAAAGGTTTGAGCAGTTGCCACAGAGGGAATGCATCCAGCACCAGGCAGTTGTGAGGTTATACACCCTGCTCTCTGGGCACATATCTATCTTCAGATATGGACAGCTGAAGTGTTTTAGTGCCATTTGGTATGTTTGAGTGCTGTCTGAAGTTAGAAGTACACCTTTTCTCAGCACATATGCTCAGTAACATTTTTTTCCTGTTGCAGGGAAAAGCTTCACGCTGACTATCACGGTCTTCACAAATCCACCACAAGTAGCCACATACCACAGAGCCATCAAGATAACAGTGGATGGACCTCGTGAACCCAGAAGTAAGTGAGCTAACGACAGCATTTGCAGAAGGCCAAGTTGATGGTTTAGTATAGTGGTTCATCACCAGCCTCACGAAATGCATCAATATCCAGTGCATGTGGAGCAGTGGGTATGTTTTAAGCCAAGGCTGTTCTACGAATGGTTTTAATTACGCCTTCCTGGAGCCTTATTTTTCACGGGTGTTCAGGTGATCTAGAATATGACTTGCATTGCATTTCTGTCTACCCAGGGATGACTTGGATCATACCCAAAAGCTGACAGAAGGGATGCTGGTAAAAGGTGGGCAGCGTATACCTTATGCATCACTTCTTGCTAGTCTTGCCTTTCAGATATTAAGAGGATTTTAAAGCATTGGAAACCAATATGTCATCGATCTAACTTTTCAAGCTCAGCCACCCTGCAAAAATAAATAAATGCCTGAGAGAGGACACCTGGTTGCTGCCTTGTATGGCTCACTGTACCTCATGCTGTCATATAGCTTAGGAGCACCCATTTTCACAGCCAGCCAATCTTTCCTCTTTTTTTTTTTTTTTCCTTTCTTTTTTTAAGAATTAAGTACAAGGAGGAGACGTATGGTTTGATATCTCCAGGGGAATACCCACACCTTTCACACAGGAGGTTGTTTTGTTCAAGTGGCGAGGGCAGGCTGTTTTGTCTGTGTGGTGAAGTGAAGTGAGGGTGGAGCAGATCTGCAGGTATAGATGCTTCTGCAGCACATGTGCTGCCTGTTACCAGAGGCCATTGTTAACCTCAGTCACTAACCTGAATGGGGAATTTTCATATTTTTATCAAAATGCCCTGATGTAAATTGAGGTTTGTGGTTACTTTCTTGCACTCCCGCCCACTTGGCAGAAGTTCTGGCTGTTGCTTAAGTGGAATCTTCCCAAGAGCAGAGAGCGGCAGGATTCAAACACCCACTAGAGAATGAGACTCACAGCTCAGGGTTTCTTAACCGGGGGAGGGGAGGGGAAGAAAAGGAAGGTTTGAAACTTCAACTAAAATAGCTGAGAAGACTCATATCTTGCCTGTGCATTTTGTCCTTGAGCCTTCATTTGTCTGAGTTGCATCATGATGCTGCATGCATTTAGTGGAAAGATTTGACCTATATTTTTTGGATTTGAGGCCAGACTATAAAACAAATACTCCTGTCGGAGCAAGGCTTCTTATTTAGTTTGTTTTGGTGGTTTTTGTTTGGTTATTTTTTTTAAATTGTGGTTGAATTGTCCATGAAAAATATCCCCGGTGAACCAGGCATCTGTGCACATAAAAAATATATTTGTATATGCAAGTTCTGGATTTGCATATGCAATTATCTGAACATGTTCGTTTGCAGACAACAAATAAGCTTTATTTTTTTGAATATGAGTCTGCTAGAATAGTAAGAAACAAAATCATCCTGCAGACATACCTACTGTTTTAAATCAATTCTTCCGTTGGTATAATAGTTAATATTTAATAAGATTCTACATTTTAAAAAGGAAGTAGAGATATAATACACACTGAAGTAACATATGTATCTTCCCAACTCAAATGTATGTAAAAGCTTCCTTGTAAATAATTTTACTTTGTCGCAGGCAATAGTGGAGGAGGCTTTATGCGTGTCAGGAGAAGAGGTCAGACTGCCTCCTCAGTAGGAATGCACAGCTACTTTTATCACTAAGTCATTTGTGATGCAGAGTCCAAGGGATTATTCTCCTTTCATTTTTAAGTGGGCTGCAAAGTCCTTCAGTTTGACTTGTCACCAAGGGTTTCTGTATTGCAGTGGCTGTTGTGATCAGTCTGGTATTTCTTCTTCTCTTTAGACATTTTACACGGGTTGGTCTGAGGAGATGCACCACAGGCTGTGAAGGAAAAAATAAGTGCATTCTCCATTCTGAGGCAGTTCTGGCGGGTTTGGGCTGTACATTATTTTTCTGTACTCTCGCTTGGTGGGTGTATCCTATTTTGCATTGGTTCAATTAGATCAGTTACACCTGTAGCCTGTACAAAACCAGATTGCCAGGCTGTTACCTGCCCAAACTCACATACAAGATTTGTGGTTAGATGTATCAAAATATGTATGCTGTGTACTGAAGGGATTAAAAATTATATTGGCCTTTTTATATTGAGACTAGAATCAAAATAAAAATTTCTAGATTAAAGTGGGTTTAGTTTCAGTAATCAATATTTGGGAACGTTCGTGCTTTCAGATCCATGACTCGCTTGAGCTAAAGGAATTACAGAAATACTGAGATGTATTTCCTAAGATGTCTCAATTCAAAAGTAATCCCTGGAAGACCGTAATGGGAACAAAATTAGATACTGGTTCTCTGTATTACAGAGACCTACAAAAAACATGCTGAAGTCCAAATACAACTCTAGGAACAGTTTTTGATTCATTTACTTCATGTTTATAATGGTTGTCAGTCTGAGCATTCTCTATGAAAAATGCTAGAAGGTAAGGGGCCATTTCTGAAGATTGAGGCCCTCTGAGATAAAAGCCAGAATTCACACGAGGACGATTTTTAGTCAGCTTTACAGGACATAGGAATACCTTTCTTTTAAAACCTTTAAGATTGATTAACTTAAGAAATAACAGAAACATTTTCATTTGTCTTCAAGATAATGTTGGACCAAGAGCAGTTTCTGAGCCAGAATTAGACAGGTTCTCAAAGTGGGTTTTTGTAATGCAAAAGGTTGGCCTCTTCAACTAGGCATGCTTGGGGAAAAAACTTCAAAAAGTAATCCAGAACAGGATTTTAAGCCATTTTTGGAAAACAGAAAAATACTCCAAAAGCAATATTTGAAGCAACAGACTTTTTGGCTCAGTGGGATGTGTGGAAATACCACAACAGGTGATGATAACACAGTGCATATTATCTTTGCTCTGCACAAAGCCCTGCAGACTAGGTTCTTGGATGTCCCATTGTACACTTGGTCACGGTTATTGTGATGGCCTTTACCTAGCAGCCTATTTGCCTGTGTAACTACCGGATTTGTATTTACAACTGTGATAATTACTCTTGAACAGGACTTGCATCATTATCCTTTTTTTGCCATTGAACTTCTGCCTGTGCCTATCCAGATGATACTTATCAGATTGTCATGGCTTGTAGACAGAGCCAAGGTACTTAAGAATCTGGCTCTTTCTCCAACTGCTTTCTTTATGTTTTTTTAAAATCTCTTTTGAACTTAGCATTTTCATTCTACAGCTCTGAATAAATGCTTATTTTCAAAATATTTTATAAAAAGAAATAATACTGCACTGTCAGGGAAGGGCAAGATGACCTAACCCATCATTTTCTTCTCCAACTTCTATGATTCTATGATTCATAAAGCAATTTATGTTTTTATGAGCTAAGTCCATGGGGAAAATCATTAGCAGTAACCAGATCAAGAGTAGTGCTCCTGATGAAAATACTTTTGGTTAGGAAACTTGGTAGAAATAGTATGACTCTTAAATTAAATATTTCCCTTAGGCCATTTGACCTACTGTGTATGTCTGCTGAAAAATTAGGTTTTTCTTCTTTTGACTGCTTCTTTCTGGTTTTCTCATTTAATTGTTTTAACCTACATAGCTCTGAAAAATTCACTAATGGACCAGGTGCCCGAAAATGCCAAAAAATGAAAAGGCTACATGGATTTAGCCCCAGTGGGCCTGAGATGTCCAAGGTTAAGCTGGGCATTAAATGTCATTATCCCATATTGGATATGTGGTTTTCCCAAATACTTTTTTGGCATTCTTATATCAAAGAGCAGGATGCAGAGGGGCAGAGAGAGAATAATATTGCTGAGCAGTATTTGAGAAGGAGCTTAAAAAGCTGCTGGCCCAAGAAGCAGCTTTTTTAGAATGGAAATTTCATTTTGCTTCCTGTCAAAGCTAGCTGGGGCAGGTGGGTAGGTGCAGGTACACCTTTGATCAGCCACAGCTAACACCCTCAGATCCTGATCTGAAGTGATCCCATCTCACTTGTAAGGTTCAAGGAAAGCCCATGGTCTGTAGCTGTTCTGAAGGAAATTTTCAAACACCCCCTTGCCTGGCCTGAGGTCTTTTTTAGGCAATCCGCAAGGGCTGGTGGTGTTAAGTGCACCTTATCTGCTTATCCTTTCCCCTGCCCTGTCCAACCTTTGCCCACAGACTTTGACTCCCAGAACAGCTTCTGGGAGGAGTGTCAGCATAGCCCACAAGGGGCTGGTATCCCTCGTCCCATGATAGATGTGAGGAAGACTCTGCATGTGTCAGGCTGGGAAGGGATGATTCCTCTGAGGGCTTCACATCACCTTCAGCCTTTCATTCAAGGAAAGCCAAACCATTCTCCAAAAAAACTTTTCATCTTAGTAAACTGAAATAATACTAAATGCCTTAATTTCTTACTTGCTTTCTGCTGCAAGTGGCTCCATCTGTTGGAAACTGGGACTAACATGTACCAATGAACAGTTTAGAACCATGGAAAACTGAATCATCGTGTTAGAGACCCACCATATAAATTTCAGTAATGACTTAACAGATCTTTCCATTCACTTGGAGACTTACAGTGCCTAAAACATGTAGACAACAGAGGTGGTGCTTACAAGTTGATTGTCCATATAACAGAAATGCAACTGGGACTCTTTCTTCCTTTGCGAGCACTAGTTCTGTGCTCAGTAGCACACCAGTCTCTCAGTATCACAACCCAACTTTGCTAATCACTTTTCTAAAAATCTTGGCTAAGGTGCTTGCCCCTGAGAGCTTCCAATCTAAATAGATTGTGTACAGACAAAAGAAAGGGATGGGCTGCAAGAAAAGCCAACGGTTGTGCACTGCCGGGTCTATGCCTGTGCATTTCTGTCCCTGCGTCCTATTGTCTGGGTGACACCGACGTGGGTGGATTAGTGCTTAAATTATGGGTGCACTCTGGGGACATTTCTGGTTGGCTTGTGCAATGGTTTTATGCAAGCATGTGGCAGCTGGAGGAAGTTACAAAACATCGCTAGCTCAAATTCACACAATGTGACTTGATGCGTTGCTGTCTCTAAATGG